AAAAAAAGACCTTCTGGAAACTCTGTTAAATCATTCTCATTAGAAAGAGCATTTTCAACCCCTCTAAAAAAGTAGGGCTGATGTTTCATTGCTAATGTATAAAGCCCTAAAAATAGGGACAAAGTTGAGGACGTTGCTATGGCAGCATCACATGCATTCTATTATTGTTTCGTCTTGTTTGTTTTATATAGACATCATTACTACTATTATATTGCGTTAGTCCATGGTGACATTATCACAACCAGTTCACGCACTTGACCCAGCAACCACATCACCATAGGGGGCATGCCTGATAGCCATGTAATACCAGCCACGGGTGGGTTTCTTGGTTCAGGATGACAAGCCTGTAGTTTGGTTTCTTCCTCAAGGTTCCAAAGCCTTGTATGGGTATCTGTTCGGTTCCCAAGCCAGCAACTGGCCAGCTTATCCTAGGTTCCCAAGCCTAAAGTGGGTATCTTATATAGTTCCCAACCCGAAGTCCGTACTGTTCATATGAACTGCCAAATTCCAATGATCGCTTATTTATTATTGAATTTACGTGCCACATTCTTTAGCGTTGGTTCTGGGAATTGATACTGTCGACCTGATGATGTAACTGAAGGCGTTGGAAGCATGCAAATAAGATGGGTCAAAATCCATAATGGTTGAGCTGGGAGCCCCAGACTACTTGACATGGAATGATCCATATGTATTTCTAAATAAAATAAAATCTAGGTCCAGTAAAAAACCTGCCCCTACCCCAATGATGCCCTTAATGTGATGTCCCGGTGCCTGGAGGCCGTGCGGATCTGGATGGGGAGAAACAAGCTCAGACTCAACCCTTCCAAGACCAAGTGGCTGTGGTTTTCGGCATCCCAATATAGTCAGCTAGCTCCATCACTGACTATTGGGGGCGAGATCTTGGCCCCCTCAGAGAGGGTTCGCAACTTGGGTGTTCTCTTGGATGCACGGCTGTCTTTAGAAGATCATATGACGGCTGTGGCCAGGGGAGTTTTTTATAAGGTTCGCCTGATTTGCCAGTAGTGTCCCTTTCTGGACCGGGACGCCTTGCGCACGGTCACTCACGCCCTTGTCACGTACCATCTGGACTACTGTAATGCTCTCTACATGGGGCTCCCCTTGAAGAGCACCCGGAGGCTCCAACTGGTCCAGAATGCGGCCGCGTGGGTGATTATGGGGACGACACAGCACACCCATGTAACACCTCTCCTGCGTGAGCTGCACTGGCTCCCGCTGGTCTTCCGGGTGCGATTTAAGGTGTTGGTCACCACCTTTAAAGCGCTCCATGGCTTAGGACCTGGGTATGTACGAGATCGCCTTCTGCCACCGATAGCCTCCCACTGGCCAATACGCTCCCACAGAGAGGGACTCCTCAGGGTGCTGTCGGCCAAACAATGTCAACTGGCGACACCCAGGGGAAGAGCCTTCTCTGTGGGGGCACCTGTCCTTTGGAATGAACTGCTCCCGGAGATCCGTATGATCCCTGACTTACATACCTTTCGCCGTGCCCTTAAGACTCTTTTGTTCCAACAAGCCGGGCTGGCTTAGAAAATGAATTTTAATTGGGTATCTGTAGTTTTTAATACAAGGGCCAATTTTTTTATATATTTTAAATTGTTTTTAAATTTTATGGGTATATGCTTGTTTTAATATGGCTGTACACCGCCCTCAGTCCTTCAGGAGAAGGGCGGTATAAAAATTTAATAAATAAATTAAAAAAAAATAAAACAATGTTCTTAATCCTCAACAGGCAAGGAAGCAATATCATCTAATTATTCATAATGTCCAGTTATCGTCACTTTAAATAAAATAAAATAAATGTAAAAATCACAAATATTCACACAAAGATACATAAAAATCATATTAGCACTTAAAATAATGCATTAATTTTTGTGGAGCACATTGTTCTGATAAAGTGGCTTTAGTGCGAAATATATATAACTTCCCCCAGAATTTTCAAGTGATATATTAATAAACAATATATTGAGTAGAAACAGCATAAAAATAGCGATCTATAGAATCATTAAAGAAGGAGTACTTTAATTAAACTGAGCTATAAACATGTCTGCACAGTATTTAATGCAAACCTGAAGTAAAGGGCTATTGCTTTTCAGTTACAGGTTTGTTTAATATGTTATAAATGTTGTAATATATGCAAACACAACATTACAAATAAAATAATTTTATTATTTTGCTGGAATTAATCTACATCTTTCCTGTGCTTTATGCATAAACAAAAACTGATCTTAAATAAAGCCAACAGTTTTCTTTTCTTAATATTTTTTGGTAATACTCAAAGGAATTAAGAAATTGCATTTTCTTTTGGTATAATAAACTCTAAGGCCCCCAATAGTACTTTTTTTTTTCATTTTTAAAGCTATATGACAACATGCCACAAAGCACCATTAAAATATACTATTGATTTTTGAAGATTATATACAAGGTAGCATGAATATTAAAATAAGCAACACTGCTGCATTAAAAGCTTTAATTAAAAGCTTTAAAAGCTTTAATTAAAAGCATTAAAAGTGAGTATACTGAAAGACTGATAAATAGTTTATTAGAACTGGCAAACAAGCATGTATAATATTTAAAAAGTACAAAATTAAAATAAGAAAATTATACAACTATGACATTGAAATAAAACTTTTCAATAACAAAGCATCACATATAATTTTAGCAATAAAAAGGAAACAAGGAATTGTCAGATTCCTGTGTAGAAATTGTTATTTTGGTTCACCAGTGCAGATTTACTAATTACAAGCATTTATAGAAGCAATATATTGCATGGAATTTCTTAAGCATACTATTGTGCTCCTGAGTCAAAATAACCACCACCATCATCATCAAGACCATCATCATCAAGACCATAACCATCATCAAGACCATCATCATCAACACGATCATCATCAAGACCATAACCATCATCAAGACCATCATCATCAACACCATCATCAAGACCATCATCTGGTCTTGATGAATTGAAAATTAGAAAGCTTAATACTAGAAGTTTTCAGTGTCTCACTGAAATCAATACTGCAATTACGTAACTTCTGCCCTTCTGTATAGGTCAAAGCCTTACTTCCTTTCAAAGTCTATTTTATTCTTGAATATTTCAGAACAGATTCTGGAATGTCCACTTTCAATGTATTTATTTATTTTTAAAAACAAGTACAATTTATTGTTTAACTGGTGGTAATAGATTTATTGGAAGGGTTGAGATAGAGTTCTAAAAATTATTTTTAATTTTAAAAGTTCAAATTAAAATGTTTACTTACATTTTTAATTGCATAATAAACAGCGCGAAACGTTGGCTGCTTATCATCATGGTAAACTCCTCTATTTCCATGAAGAATGAATATTCCTTCCTTTTCTGCCTCCTGGCAATTACTCCCATAAATACAATGGTCGGGCCGATAGTTCCATTGGCAAGGAAAAACAAAAAGGCTTTCTATAGAGAAAAATAAAAAATCATCCATTATAATTTTTCTAGGCAAACTGTTCATTGAAGGACTTAGGCTATCAAGTCCAAGCCCTTATTCAATGGAAAAATCAAAATTAAAGCATGTCCAAAGTTTGCTACCCAGACTTTGCCTGAATACTGTACATGCAACAAAGTGAAACTTACACTCTCATGATAACTGGTTCAACCCGTGGTAGGATTCTACCGGTTTGGACCGGTTCAGGCGAACTTTCAGCCGTGAGCCAACTGGTTCTCTCTTTCTTTGAAATGGGCCCGCCCACCTGCCCCTGAGTTACACTCACCTATATTTCTGCTTCTGAAGCCCAGCTGATCGGGGCGGCAGAGTGGATTGCTGCTCCTCAGCTGTTTTCCTTGCTCTCAGCAACATGGAAGTTCAATTTTCTGCAAACTGCGCATGCAGTTTGGTGCACGCATGTTCAGTGAACCGGTTGTTAAATCGATAGGATCCCACCACTGGGTTCAACTGTTGAAATGCGTTACCATTAAAAAATTTTTTCCTGACTTCCGGTTGATGTTGTGGCGATACAGAGGAGCTGGTCTCCGCATTCCCTGTGCTGAATTCTTCATGTTTGTGGGCTCCAGAGGGAGCCTAAACTGCCCTGTAGGGGCAGTGAAGCAAATAGGGGCACCCTGTGAGGTCGGGGAGAATGGCAGCTCTCCTGTCCTTTTCAGCTACGGCAAGAAGAGCAGCCTAAAGATGGCTGCTACAAAGCTGGGATAACCAAAGAATAACAGCCGAGACTGGTGCTGGAGAGGTGAGCCATGATGGAACTGGTGTGGGGGGAGGATTTTTCTTTTGCTTTAAATTGAACCCCAATAAATAATTCAGAACCATTTGCCCAGAACTGTGTTAAAGTGGTGCCTAAGCATTTTGGGATGCCCTGAAGAAATACCTAACTGGAAATGAAAGGCGCTGGCTGCGCAAGCCCACATCGTTTATTTAATTCAGTGGCAGATTGGGTGTGCGCTTGTGCAGCCGGCGCGTGGACCAGAGCGGCTCATTCAAGGAGAGTGAGTGACTCCAGTACCTTTCGGGCGCTTGCCTTCCCTGACAGCCAGCCACAGGAGAAAGGTGAGCAGTAAGAATCCGGGAATGGTGCATTCCCCGACTCCAGGGAATGGGGCAGGTGGGCAGAGCCATGTGGCGAAGGGCGAGCAGGCAGCAGCTATGCGGCGAGGCCGGAGTTGAGGAATGGTGCATTCTCCGACTCCTACTGCTCACCTTTCTCCGGCGGCTGGCTGTCAGGGAAGGCAAGTGCCCGAAAGGTACCCAAGTCGCTCATTCTCCTTCTTGAATGAGCCGCTCTGGTCCATGCCGGCTGCGCAAGCGCACATCCAACCTGCCGCTGAATTAAATGAATTGTGCGCTTGCGCAGCCAGCGCGTGGACCAGAGCGGCTCATTCAAGGAAAGTGAGCGACTCCGGTACCTTTCGGGCGCTTGCCTTCCCTGACAGCCAGCTGCAGGAGAAAGGTGAGCAGTAGGAGTCCGGGGAATGGGGCGGGTGGGCGAAGCCGTAGGAGAAAGAAATTTAAAAAGTTTTCCTACCGGGTTCTGTGGGCGTGGCTTGGTGGAAGGGGGTCTTGTGACTGAGTGGGCGTGGCTGTGAGTGACATCGAATTGGCCATGCCCACTCAGTCACAGGACACCCCCCCCACCAAGCCATGCCCACAGAACCGGTAGGGAAAAAATTTAGATTTCACCCCTGGGTGGGAGGAACCCTTAGATTGGACATCCAAGAAATAGATATAGATGGAGACTTAAGAGAGGAATGTGGGAGGCAAGTCAAAAAAAAAAAAAAAGCATAGCAATTGAAGTAATGAAGCGGGCAAGAGACAATGGATAAATGATTTTCTTTTTTATTGTTATTCTAATTTGCTTTTCCTTTTTCCTCTCTTTCTTTTAAAGCATAGCAATTAAAGTATGAAGCGGGCAAGAGATGATGGATGGATGATTCCTTTTTTGTTGCTGCTCTGAGTTGCTTTTCCGTCTCTCTCCCTCTCTTCTTTCCCCCCCTTCTTTTTTTAGGCAGATGACATGATTAGAAGTTAGACAGGAAAGGGTCTATAAAGGGTGACATGATTAAAAGCTAGAATAAATGATAGAAATAAAGGGAATATTAATGTATACATTTTTATTTGATAAAATGAAAGCAATAATGAGAAATAGGTGGAATAAATGAATAGTGATAGACTGTAACCTAATATAGATGTGTATTGTTATTAGAAATACATAAATTGATTGAATGTAATAATGTTTAATCTGATCAGTTTCATTTATATTGGAATGTATGGTGCTCAAGTGCCACAGTATTCCCACATTGATTTGACATTTTTATAAAAAACAAAAAACTTTAAAAAAAATTCCTAGCATTTTAACTGAAATTTCTTCCTCCAATTTAGAACAGAATAACAGAGTTGGATGGGACCTTGGAGGTCTTCTAGTCCAACTCCCTGCTTAGGCAGGAAGCCCTATGCCATTTCAGACAAATGGTTATCCAATCTCTTCTTAAAAACTTCCAGGGTTGGAGCATTTACAACTTCTGGAGGCAAGTTGTTCCACTGATTAATTGTTCTAACTGTTAGGAAATTTCTACTTAGTTTTAGGTTGCGTCTCTCCTTGATTAGTTTCCACTCATTGCTTCTTGTCCTGCCCTCAGGTGCTTTGGAAAATAGCTTGAGTCCCTCTTCTTTGTGGCAGTCCCTGAGATATTGGAACACAGCTATCATGTCACTCCTAGTTCTTCTTTTCATCAAATTAGACATACCCAATTGTAGCAACTGTTCTTTGTATATTTTAGCCTCCAGTCCCCTAATCATCTTTGTTGCTCTTCTCTATACTCTTTCTAGTCTCAACATCTTTTTTTCCATCATGGCAACCAAAACAGGATGCAGTATTCCAAGTGTGGCCTTATCAAGGCATATTAAGTAGTATTAACACTCCTCGTGATCTTGATTCTATTCCTCTGTTTAGGCAGCCTGGAACTATGTTGGCTTTTTTTGGCAGCTGCAGCACACTGCTGGCTCATATTTAAACTATTGCCCACTAGGACTCCAAGATCCCTCTCACAGTTACTACTATTGAGTGAGGTATATTGTATCTGTGCATTTTGTTTTTCTTATCTAAATACAGAATCTTACTTTTTTCACAATTGAATTTTATTTTGTTAGATAGCGCCCAATATGCAAGCCTGTCAAAATCCTTCTGTATCTTAAGTCTATCTTCTGAAGTGTTGGCTATTCCTGCTAGCTTGGTGTCGTCTGCAAATTTGATGAGTCTATTCCCTCATCCAAATAATTGATGAAGATGTTGAAGAGTACTGGGACTAAAACAGAGCCTTCGAGTACCCCACTCCATACTTCCCTCCATGTAGATGCAGTTCCATTGAGGACTACATGTTGAATGTGATTGGTCAGCCAGTTACGAATCCATCTGGTGCTGATGCTCTCTAATCCACATTTTTCTATCTTATCAAGAAGTAGGTTATGGTCTGCTTTATCAAATGCCTTACTGAAGTCCAAGTATATCCACAGCATTCCTCTGGTCCACTAATTTTGCCACTTTGTCAAAGAATGCAATATGATTTGTCTGGAATGATCTGTTTTTGACAAACCCATGTTGGCTTTTGATTATTAATTTGTTTACTTCTATGTGTTCGCTGATTCGTTGCTTGGTTATCTTTTCCAGAAACTTCCCTGGTATTGAGGTCAGGCTCAGGTCTGTAGTTTCCTGGATCTATTTTTTTTCCCTTTTTTGAAGGTGGGAACTACATCAGCTCTTTTCCAGTCCCTTGGCAGTTCCCCTGTGCTCCAGGATCTTTGAAAGATATAGTTCAGTGGTTCTGAGATGATGTCTGTCAGTTCCTTCAGAACCTTGGGGTGTAAACTATTTGGTTCTGGTGATTTGAACTCGTCTAGGGTGGACAAGTGCTCACTTACCATTTTCTTCCTTATTTTAAGTTGTGTTACTAATCTGTTTTTTTTGGTGCTGTTTTTGATAGGTTGGACTGTTTTCCCCCCCTTTGTGTAAAGACAGATGCAAAAATCGAATTAAGTAGTTCTGCTTTCTCCCTGTTGCTTGTCACCTTCTTGCCACTTTCTCCCACTAGTGGGCCAATTGTTTCCTTGACTTTTTTCTTGTTTTTAATATGTTGGAAGCAGCAAGCCTTTGTTCATTATGAGCTTTAGCTTTCCTCACTTCATCTTTGCAGGCTCAGGCTATTTGACGATATTCTGCCTTTGTTATGTACCCCTCTTTCCACTTTCTATAGTTGTCCTTTTTGTCTTTCAATTTATCAGAGAGTTCTTTATGCAGTCATATTGGTTTCTTTTGAGAGCTGTTATTTTTCTTCTTCATTGGTATTGTGCTAGATTGTGCTTTTATAATCTCACTTTTCAAAATTTCCCAAGCTTCTTGAGTTGTTTTCCTCCTCAGGATTCTCATCCATGGAATCCTTCCCAAGATCTAAGTTTATTGAAATTAGGTGTCAGGTTTCGATGTCATCTCAAATAAATTGCACTCCCAAACAATTAATCTTTGCTGAAATATTCCATTTATTGAGTACTCTTGGACTCTTAAAGTTCAAGGCTCTAGTTTTACTTTGTTCTATTGCCTGTGCTTGCATAATGTTGGATTCCAGTATTGCACGATCACTCCCCCCCAAGATTCCTGTAGCTTCAACACCTTTTATCATTTGATCTCCGTTAGTGAGAATTAACTCCAATATGGCTGGCCCCCTTGTTCCCTTCTCTACTTTTTGGGAAACAAAGTTGTCTGCTAGGTTTGTCAGGAACCTGTTTGATCTTCCACTTGGTGCAGTTTGTCTCCCAGTTGATGTCAAGGTAGGTAAAATCTCCCATTACTATTGTGATGTGCTTCCTACATATCTTAGTTAACTGACTCTGCTTTGTTGGGTGGTCTATAATATATATCTATGGCAATGTAATTTTTCTACCTTTTATACTGACCCAAATGCATTCAAGGCAGTTTTCATCATTGTTGTGCCCTATATCTGTAGAGATGTAATTATTTCTTATGTATAGTGCAACTCCACCTGTTATTTTATTTGGTCTATTTCTTTTAAATAATTTAAATTTAAAAGCTGTATGTTCCATTTGTGGGTTTCATCCCACCAAGTTTCCATAATGGCAACAGTATCATATCTACTCTCATTTACTTGAATTTCTAATTCGCCCTGTTTATTCCTCATACTCTGTGTATTGGTGTATAGACATCTGTGTCTTTTTTGATTGACCCTGTGTTTACTTTCCACATAACCTGCATTGTGCCTGATTTCCCCTACTTGTTTGATTAGTGCACAGTATGGCACTCACTATTAAATGCTTGATGGCAAGGTTGATATTCTTACCCATACATTTAATACCATTATTCTGTGTCTGGCACTATAGGAGGTTAAAGAAAACACAATGGCTTTCCTCTGTATGATTTGAAGAGAGCTTTATTTCTTTATGTCAGTCATTTTCTGTTAAAGCAAAACACACCTGCTTGCTTGAGGTTTTTATAGGACTCGTCTAATCCCCTAACCCGGGTGTCGGCAACCTGTGGCTCTAGAGCCGCATGCGGGTCTTTCACCCCTCTGCTGCGGCTCCCTGTGGTGGCAGAGGGATGAAAGAGCTGTCGCCCTGTTGCCTTAGTGCGGGAGCGAAGTGCCCCTGCACTTGCCTTTGTGCGGCAACAGGATTCCGCCTTTGTCATGGTACATTTGCTGTTGCTGCCAGCAAAGAGGGCTGGGAGAGAACGGCAGGGACGGATCTTGTGGGGTGGGGGCCATCCCCCAAGCCTGGCCTTCCTTCTCCCTCATCAGCAGGGCCAAGAGAAAGAAGGGGGCGGCGTGGGGAAGCATTCCTATCCCTGGCCGAGCACAAAAGCCCAGTGGTACCTCAGTCCTTGTCAGTAATTCATTCTGGAAGATGCGCCAAATACTAAAACCAATACTCCCCCAAAAATAAGGTGCGTCTTATACTCCGGAACGACTTATACTCTGAAAAATACGGTATGTGTTTTTACACCAAGAATTCCAATTGCTGTTATTTTTGCAATTGCACATTATTTATCTTGGTATGGTAAATCCATGTTCATATACCCCACAAAAGCCAAATACTGTTAACTATCTTCTCAAAATTACACCTAGTGCTACAAAAATTAAAGCTTTTTTTCTGCATGAATCTTATCTAGCTAAACAAAAAATAATCCATGCAATCATAAACTAACATCAGAAAGCAATTATCTGAGTTACAAAAATGTTTAAGCGAGTTTCATTAAGTCTTGTCTTGTACTTTGCTTGCTGCCTCTGTGACCTGTTTCACACATCTCTCTATTGATTTGGCATGACAGGGCCACTTTGGTACTTGCATTGGTTCGTCAATGAACTTCTTGATTTCCGCTGTAGTTAGATTGTACGTGAAAGGTGGCTCATATACACCTTCAGACCAATCAGTCACCTCCAGCAGAGTGGATGTTCTGGCATTGATTTGAGGCGTTTTTCTGGCACGTACAGAAAAATCTCCCAGGGTGTCATCTGCAACCCTCAAGCCAGGGGTGAAATTCAGCAGGTTCTGGAGAACTGGTAGCAGAAATTTTGAGCAGTTCAGAGAACCAGTAGCAGAAATTTTGAGTAGTACTGGCAAATACCACCTCTGGCTGGCCCCAGAGTGGGGTGGGAATGGAGATTTTGCAATATCCTTTCCCCAGGCATGGGGTAGGAATGGAAATTTTGCAGTATCCTTTCCCTGCCACGCCCACCAAGCCACACCATGCCCACCAAATCACGCCCACAGAACCGGTAGTAAAAAAGTTTGGATTTCACCACTGCCTCAAGTCAATGATCTTTTGCACTCTTGAATGTCATCTGAACCCAAGAATGTCTGGATTATCATTTCATTGAAAGCGTACCATGCTGAGTTGGTTTAATAGTTGGCAAAACAGCATTTACCTTCTTTTGCAGTCTGACTTGCTGCAGCTGGAACAATATGACACAGACTTTCAATCCAGGATTGTTTTACTTTGATGTTGATCCAGCAAGTGTAGTACACAACAATGATGTATTCCACTATCATACTTAAGTTTTTGAGAGTTTTGCCTTTAAAGTCATGTTTTGAAACCCATATTCGACAAAGCCTATTTGCAGTTGTCAACCAGTGTGAATGGCTTACAGGGCCAATTTCCAGAAGAGCCAGATCTGTGGGAAGTTCTCCTGTCCCTATGGCCTGTGTGATACTATATCAATTCCCCTCATCAGTAGAGAGATCCTTTACAACACTGTTGCTCAGTGAAACGAGAGACTCACCAATTGAAACTCAGTGAATGAAGAAACAATGTCAAGTTCTGTTGCAATGTCCAGCATGTTGTCAATTTTACCTGCCCATTTGTTGTTAGACAACATCTTCCCATCCAATGTTGTGATTAAGTGTTGTAGGGGTAACTCATTTGTGTGGAGTGCACACACCAACCAGATCAACTTCCGGTCAAGCTTGATTTTTACACAACGCATGGCACCACCTTCACAGCCAGTCTTAACATTTGTAGAGTTTTCACCAATGGCTTCAAGCTTTTGTCAATACCTTTCTTCTTCATGAAATACATCAGATCATCTGCAATAACTTGAGCATGTTTTCCTATTTTTGAGCCTTTCTCTGGAGTGAAATGATAAAGATATCTTCCACCCGACTCACTGCACACAGAATAATGTTCTTTTTGATGGTATTGGGGAATTGCTGGTCTGAATTGTTTGCTTTCAGCATAACTTTAGTTGCATCTAAATGGCCATCTAAGAATATGCATTCTATTTCGCCCTTCTTACAAAGGTCATCAAATTCTTGACCTAGGGATTTCATATTTTTTTTCCTGGAATCTCTTGGCTTTACTGTGATCAACTACAAGTCTCTTATCTTCTTCGGTGAAGGCGCCTCTGGTAATGGCAGCAGTGGCACGTAGACCAACACTGTATCTTATGCTCTGCTATTATACAATGAATAATTTTATTTCTAATCTGTTATTTCTAATCTATTGTATTCTGTCTTTTCTTTTGAAGTAGAGGGCACGTGTTTTTAGTCTAAGGCCTCTTCATAACTTCTATCACATTCCCCTTCATTTTAATCATCAGTCGTCTGTTTCTAGCATCATCACTATTTTCTCTTAACAGTAGGCCATATCTGAAAATGTTGGGTGTTGGGAGTTCAGACAGCAACAAGTCTTTGCCAGTCCCAATTATGTTGCTCATATGAGTGAATGTTCCCAGTCTTGTTTTTTTAGAAGCCATTACAGATCAGTTATCACACTCACAGGAAGGCCAGCAGTATTAACACTGTCAGAGAAAATAACATTTAACAAAAAGAGAAAGACAGCTGAACCTGTGAAATGAAACAAGCAAAATGTTAAAAAAATATGATATTTATGTAGTTTATTTACCAAGCACATCTAAATTATATTAAAGTAACCAAAATATATTTACAAACCCCAAGGCATGTCACAACTTTTGAACACCCCTAATGTTTGGAAATTGAAAGTTGGAAAATTTGACACACACTAAATTTCTTGGGAACACTTTAAAACACAGTATAACACAAATAGCAATATCATATTAAGATTGAGAATTAAAATTGCATTTTTAAAAGTAACTTACCAGGATTATGAAAAAACATAATGTTCAAAAGATCCTGATCACCCCATGTTATATTCAACTTGTATTTTTTCAGCAGCGGCATGAGAATTTCTTCCCAACGTAATCGTACTGATGTCATATCATTCTTCAAAATCAAAATACCAGAATTAGAAGTAAAGGGATCTAGATCTTACTTTTTATGATAAAATATATGCTTCTTTAATTTTTATCATACTGCCTCATTTTTATGCAGTATTATGTCACAGTAATAAGTCTTTCTGATTTAAATAGGCAATTAATAAAAATTATTAAATATTTATAACAAATAAAACCAAAAGAAACTTCAGTTTAGATTCTACCAGATTAAACTACAAACTTCTAGAAGTACAACAAATATACCTAAGGGTCAATATAAAATACTTTCTAAAAATGAGTAAGAAAGGATATGCAAAAACAGAGATTTATGAATTTTAGTGTTGTCTCAATGCATGAAATATTTCTAGATTAAACAAAATAATGTTAAGCTAACCATAAATATCTAAATTTGAAAATGGCACACAAGTCTAAAGAATAGTTTCAATTTTCAAATACAAGGTTAAATCCTGGCTCTTCTGATTGCTTTTTCTTTTTTTAAATAAAATCTTTCAGGGCACAAAGGACACATGGAATCCAAAGGCATGCTAGAAAGCACCTGAAAGTCATATTTTCAGTTCAAACATTCTAAAATTAAAAACTGGAAATGATAATAGATGTTGTATTTCCACACCCTAATTTGGAGTTTGCATAAGGACCTACACTACATTTTTACATTGGAATGAAACATTTCATGAGTCTATCACTTATGAACAATGTCCTTAAAAAGAACATTATTTTGGATAGATTGTGAGAATAAAACAAATATCTTAAAATGACTGTACATCATCTTACATGCATTCTAAGTCAATAGTCTAATAGCGCCACCTTCAGGTTAGATTGCATATATACTCATAGTACAAATTTCTGAGTCAGTTTAATATGAAGTTTCAAGATAAAAGAACAATGAGAAATGAGTAGGTATAAAGAAGCAGAAGAAAAATGAAAACAACAACAACAAATGTATTTCATTAAAAAAACATTGATAAAAACAGTATATGGTGTTTATATGGGATTAGTTAGAATCTACTCTGGAATATTACTAAAAAACATGGTATTTTAATTTACAGAAAAGTACCGAAAATGAAAAAGCACACTACCTTGAAATATTTTCTTCTAATGCGGGTCATGTTCATTAACATTACTCCAGAATTGATTCCAGTTTTTCCATAATATGGGTGCCTAGCAAAGCGATTATACCACCCAATACGAGGTTCTTCATGCTCTGGTGCCATAGCAGCAATCTGAGTAGAGTTGAATTTTTTCAGGAAAGACCAGATATCATCAACAGGTCTTAAGAACAAGATGTCTGTGTCAACATATAGTAGAGAGTCCACATTACTGAGGATTAACTATAGAAGAAAAAATTTTGGAAACAAAATTAACATCCAACTCTGACATTTTATTCAATTTGCTATTTTTTTTTGAGGGATCAAGTTTTATTTATCCACCCACCCCCCATTTCCCCCCGCATATTTTATGAACAGAGTATTGGCCATATCATAACTTATACAATATAACATATTCAAGTACATTTTACTCAGTTACAATTTTTGCCAAAATTTCCTTTTCCCATTTTTTAATCATGCTTTCTATGCTTATTTATATAAGCAACATTTTAATTTGCCCTCAAATTCTAGTTTTTCTGTTTTAACTCATATTTATTCTCTTTTATTTTTTAATAACTCATTCTTTATCTTAGTACATTTATGCATGTTTGGGGTTGCCTTTCTTCCATTTTATCTTTTTTTATTGTACAGCAATCTTTCTTCTCAATCTCTCCCTCCCTTCTTTCCTTTCTACTTTCTTCTTCCCTCTTCTCCTACTCCTTATTATTTATTTATTTTGTCGCATTTCTATGCCGCCCAATTCCCAAGGGACTCTGGGCGGCTTACAACAAAGAATAAAACAATGCGAACAATCCCATAAAAAATGTTAAAAGAAAAACATTAAAACATTAAAACTTTAAAAACGTTAAAACACATGCACTCCAATTCGTGGCCGGGTCTCGCAAGATCATTATAATGAGATCAACGGCCCCAAGCCTGCCGGAAGAGCCAGGTCTTCACCGCTTTGCGGAAGGCCAATAGGGTGGGGGCGGTCCGGACCTCAGGAGATAATTGGTTCAAGAGAGCTGGAGCGACCACAGAGAAGGCCCTCCCCCGCGGGCCCACCAGCCGACATTGTTTAGCTAACGGGACCCGGAGGAGACCGACTCTGTGGGATCTTACCGGTCGCTGGGAGCTATGTGGTAGAAGGCAGTCTCAAAGATAGCCTGGCCCTGGGCCATAAAGGGCTTTAAAGGTAATGACCAACACCTTGAATTGCACCCGGAGACCAATAGGGAGCCAGTGCAGCTCGCGGAGAATTGGTGTAATGTGGGTGTATCTAGGCGCACCCACTATAACTCGCGTGGCTGCACTCTGGACCAACTGTAGTCTCCGAACACTTTTCAAGGGTAGTCCCACGTAGAGCGCGTTGCAACTCTACTTCCCCTTCCTTTCTCCCTTTCCTCCTCTCTTTCTCCCTTTCTAACCCTCTCTCCTACTCTTATTTCCCCTCCCTTCCTTCCTCCCCTCTTTCCTTTCTTCTCATTCCTCTCTCTCCTTCTTCCTCCCTTCCACCCCTCTACTCCTCTTTCATCTCTCTCTATTGCTGTATCTATTTTCAACTTTCTATTTTCCACTATGGTGTCCAGGCAACCCCGACTTTTCTTTCATTTATTTTCTCAAAATTCCCCTTATCTTTTAATTATTAACAATGTATTTCAACTTATTCCATTTTTATCTTAAATCCTTTACTAGTATAACCTTCCAACCCTTAACAATATCTTTCTATTTTATTTCTTACATACAGTATATTGTTGTATTCTTACTTGCATCATTTATTAACATTTCCATTTTATTCCATTTTACATTTCAATTTTCCCCTTAATTTCAATTAATTCTTTTGTTACTATTATTTCTCTCGAATTTGTACATCTTCCAACAACAAAATATAGTCCATTCTGTCTTTCACATTCCATCTACTGATCTATTTTACATCAAGTAGTGTATTTCTTCTTTTTTACTTACTCACATTTCATTTTATCTTTACTTATATCCCTTTTACAATAATCTGTATCTTCCTTCTAAATTGCTTTTTACATATGATTTCTAAAGTTAACATCCTTCTCTTCAATTAGCATATTCATTTTTAAAATTCCTTTTTACTATCTCCTATTTTCTTTTAATTTCTCCACAATTCCATTTCTTGACACTTTCCTCCCTTTCTCCCATTCCCTTGCCGCCTTCTCCTCCTTTTTCTTCCCCATTTCTTTCTCTTCTCTTCCTTTTTGAGATGTATTCCCCCTTATCCATTTTTATTCTATCTCTATTAATCCCAATGTAATCAGCTTTTTTATTCTGTCACTGTTAATCCCAGTGTAATCATCTTTTTTATTCTATCACTGTTAATCCCGGTGTAATCATATTTTTTATTCTGTCACTGTTAATTCCAGTGTAATCCTTACCCTATCTTTTTTAAACTTGTAATGGTAGTCTTCAACTTACAGTCATTCTTTTAGTGATAGTTTGAAGTTATAACAGCACTAAAACAAGTAAGTTATGATCAGTTTTCACACTTATGACCATTACAGTAACCCCATGGTCACATGAGCAAAATTCTGACGCTTGGCAATTGGTTCATATTTATGATAGTTGCTGTGTCTCAGGGTCATGTGGTCACCTTTTGTTACCCTCTGACAAACAAAGTAAATGGGAGAGCCAGATTCACTTAACAACTGTGGCAAATAAGGTCATAAAATGGGGCAAAATTCACCTAACAATTGTCTTGCTTAGCAACAGAAATTTTGGGTTCAATTTTGGTCACAAGTTAAGGATTGCTTATATCCTCCTTAGATTGTTGCAATGCTGTTGTTATTAGTAAAATATCTGAGAGAGATCCCATATTATTCTGGATAGCAATTAGAAAGTCAGTCTAAAATTAAAGAAACTCACAATATTTAGCTTCAAACAGATAAAACATGGGGAAGGTATGGTAGCATTCTCTTAAGATTTGGAAGGACAAAAATGGGCAAGATTGTTTGAACAAGTGTGAATATTATACAGCAAAAAAAAGTTATGAGAAAGCATATGGCAAGTGAATGTTAGACAAACCTTCCTAACATTCAGAGCAGTCTGATAGTGAAGCTAATTACCAAGAGAAATGGTGAGTTCCTTTTCATTAGATGTGCTTATGGAAGCCATCTTTTGAATTGGGCCTTCAGGCCTGCCACATTTACTGCTGTGGGAAATTGGGAAGGGGGATTGTATGAAGCAGGGGTGATATATAGTCATAATAACACTCCTTTCTCAGAAAGTCAAGGCCGTCCTGCCTCTACCTAGGAGGCTGGACCTGTGAGGCATCTCCAGTTGGGATACTGCTTTGATAGGATCATGTGATGGACTTGTGGGGGTTGGGCAGGGACTTGAACTTTTCTTTGGGTGAGGAAAACCTGGAAACTTTCAGATTCGGGTTTTCCCAGATGTGCCAATATGACATCTCTAATAAAATGTAACTTTTGAGGAAACTGAAGCTTCAGAGTTTTCTTTCGTTGGGGAGTGTTACTTGGAACCCTGACACTTAGGTACAGAATGCAAAGTACAGTATCTACTCAGAATACTTTAATTTAGATTTCTATATTGGGCAAAATTTCATACTGAAAATCTAATTTTGTTCTTTCCAACTTTTGATGTTATTTCATTCAATATAAGCTGTGTATTGGTGATTCTGTAATTGCCAAATGTACTGAATACATAGATATGCCTTCAAATTTCTGTTATTTGGTGAGTAAAGTTGTTTTTTCTTGGCTTATTAGAATGTTTAACTTTTTCATCAATTTATTAATGAGAGAGGAAACTGTAAGGAAGTAAAACCCTTCTAATCAGAATTCCAATAATATTTCCAAGCCAAAGCACAATCATCAGCACCCGGACTTTTCGTCAGGCCCTGAAAACTCATTTATTTCATCTAGCTGGGCTGGCTTGATCCCATCCTTTCGGTTTTAATTTGAAATTGGTTTTAACTGGGTTGTTTTAAATTGTGGGCCAAAATTATTTAATATCTTTTAAACTGTTTTTTAAATTTTATATGTTATGTTTTATCTCGGCTGTTCACCGCCCTGAGTCCTGTTGGAGAAGGGCGGTATAAAAATCAAATCAAATCAAATCAATTAAATAAATCTTTAGTGTGGAGTAACTGGAATACTGAAACAGGAATCTCAGCCAACAAGTAATGACCTACCTCTTCATATTCAACCTGATTATGCTTCAACTTGGTAGTACTACTTACTTTTGAAAGGGCAGAACTAGTCCACCACATTATTACGTTGTAATAATATGCCAAATAAATAACTGAAGAAGTTACATTTTATGTTCATTCAAACAGCAATAGCTTACCAAATAACTCACTTTTCTCTAGAAGCATATTTATTTATTATATTTATATGCTGCCCATCTCATTCTGAAAAAGGACTCAAGGCAGTTATTTAAGAATAAAATAACACTTATTTTTCACTTATGACTAGAATTATTAATTTTGCTTAACAACTACCATTGCTACTTACTGGTAGGAAAAGTCTTTGAGAAGCACAAGGCTTGAACAATTTCTTCCATTCTGCTGCATTCTCAGTTGGAAATGAGATAGGGTACAGAGTATAATTAAATTTTTCATTATGTCTCAAATTATCAAGCTGAAAAAAACAACATGTTTTAGTATTTTTGTATCAAAAGTATATAAGCAAGATTAACCAATTTCTAACTACTCTATTTCTCATTTTGATTATTAAACAGTATGTTTTCAAGCCTGTAAAATTAAGATTTGTGAAAGGAATATATAATACTGACAATTTGTTCTCTATTTTATTGGATTTATATGCTACCTTTCTAAAACAAATGGTACTCATTATATTTTACTAAGAGGGTGAGAATATCTTGGATCAGTCACTACTTGCAATTGATGTAAAACAGAGAAAAACGAATCAACATAAAATGAGCCTTGGTGGCGCAGCAGACTAAAGTGCTATTAAGTAGCACCAGCTGCCTGCAATTACTGCAAGTTCAAATCTCACCAGGCTCAAGGTTGACTCAGCCTTCCATCCTTTCGAGGTAGGTAAAATGAGGACCCGGATTGTGGGGGCAATAAGCTGACGTTGTATAAAAAAGAAAACCGCTTGGGGGGGGGGAAGCCCTACTATGCAGGTATATATAAAAGTATGAAGGCTATTGCTTAACGCATTGTAAACTGCCCTGAGTCTCCAGAGAAAGGGCGGCATACAAATCGAACCAATAAATAAAATAAATAAATAAATGCAAATACGTGTTTTAGAAAATGGTGTTAGTTTAAAAAAAAAAACTCTATGCAAATAATTGGGAATATCAAATAACCAAACTCACAATTTATCACAAATGTATTTTCTATGAAAAGCACCTGTCTTCATAAAAGACAGCTATAGCATGTGTATATTTAAGGTAAAAAAAAAAAGTATGGTTCAGCAGGATACTAATGTTGCCAAACTCAGACTGTATCAGAGGATAAGTGAGACAAATGCAATTCATAGGATAAAAGCAGGTCAAGAAGTCACAACCTCCTGGTTTCTAGGCCAGCATCTTAACCACTATACCAAACTGACTCTTAAGTTTTATATAAATTTAAGAGGCGTGTTTCTTATAAGACTATACTTCTATCATGTGCAAATGTTAAAATATGTTATGAACATTTTATTGATAAGGGTAGTTCTTGACTTATGACAATTGAGTCCCAAAATTTCTGTTGCTAAGGGAGACAGTTATTAATAAATTTGCCCCATTTTACAACCTTTGCCACAGTTAAATGAATCACTGCAGTTGTTAAGTTAGTAACACAGTTATTAAGTGAATCTGGCTTCCTGATTTACTCTGCTTATACGAAGGTCACAAAAGGTGATCACCTGATCCCAGGACACTGCAAACGTCATAAATATGAGTCAGTTGCCAAGTGTCTGAATTTTGATCACATGACCATGGGAATATTGTAATAGGTGTAAGTGTAAAAAATGGTCATAAGTCACTTTTTCAGTGCCACTGTAACTTTGAATCGTCACTAAATGAATTGTTGTAAATCAAGGACCACCTGTATTGGATAATAATTTCTAATTACTCAATTTCTTTTCAACTTTAGAGTTCAAAGAACTGGAAACTGCTGTGCAATTGATGAATACTGTAGTGTAGCTCCACTTATGACTGAGAAGACAGCAGGGGTTCAACTCATCCACCATGAGGTCACAATATACCCAAATTACATGCTTTTTGCTCTTGGAAATATACTATTTTCCAGTTACAAAGTAAAAAAAAAATCTTCACAGAATATAGATCGCAGACTGACAGATTTAGAGACTGAACCAAGCAGCCTTAGATTTGGTGGAAAAATACAAACAAAGTTACCTTAATCCAGGCATACATTCTTTTATGAATACTTACTATTTCTCTGAAGTCACTATGTAATGATTCCTCAGCAAAAATATGACACTGAAGATTTTTGATGCTGAAAATAATAGCTGATTTCAACATAGTAACAGTTTCCTCCAATCTTTCACCACAGGCTACTACCGCCAAATGCATCCTTTCAGAAAGCTGAGGCCTTGGAAAATCATATCTGATGCAAAAATACAAGAAATAATTGTTTCTATGGAAACAATGCTAAATGTAAACATTCTATATTACATTTGAAACAAAGATTCTTTATTCAAGTTAGTCATTAATGTTACTTAGCTTTATCACAATTTGGGAAAAAGTAGTTATGACAACCAAGAGAATGACAAGGATATATTTCAACTGCTGCTGTTAAAGTAGCACTTAGCTGCCAGCTGCCTGCAATTACTGCAAGTTCAATTCTCACCAGGCTCACGGTTGACTCAGCCTTCCATCCTTTCGAGGTAGGTAAAATGAGGACCCGGTTGTGGGGGCAATAAGTTGACTTTGTATAAAACAGAACACCATTCGGGGGGGCCAAAAAGCCCTACTAAGCAAGTATATACAAAAGTATGAAGGCTATTGCTTAATGCATTGTAAGCAGCCCTGAGTCTCCGGAGAAGGGCGGCATATAAATCGAACTAATAAATTAAACCAAGTTTTTAAATCACTTTTTTGTAATTTTAATTTTCTATGTTATCTGCTCATAAACTTTTATTTGAAAAAGCATCTCATTTTTCTCAAAGAACGTTTTCTTTTAATAAACACATTTGGTTGAGAATGTAGCCCACTTAGCTATCCATCTTACAGCAAAATTTAATATTTTCTCATATTATTCCTCATAGTAGCTTTCATTACTATTTTCTTTACAGCCTAATCCTAACAATATTTCCTGCTGCTAACATAAATGCTTTGTTGTAAAGAAAATAAACAAAAAACCAAAAGTAAAATCAAATACAATACTAATAGCCAGAAAAAAATGTCAACATACACTCTAAAACACATGAACCTTTTGTAATATCAAAATAAATTCCAATAAAAATCAAAATGTTTCAGACAATAAACTGTTAACCTTAAGATGCAAACAGTAAATATATAATTAGATGTGTGCCAGAGTTCTCACAGAAAAAAATGAGGATAAGGTTATCTTAAGATCTTATTGAGTAGATGAAAAATATCATCAATTAAAAAGTAGTCAAATTCCAGTATCACCATTTCACTAATATATAAGAAAGTCCTGGATGCAACCTATCAATTCAATACTAGATACTTCATTTTTTATTCTTATAATTTATTCTTCAAACTTTAATAAACACCTCACCATATATTTTATGAATTAGAATATTTTTATTTTAAAAATTGATTTTCTAACATCTTCTATTTATATGCATAAGAATAGAGATATAAAAAATAGTTCAAATACTTTTTCTTTTAAAAATCTGAAGGCTTAACTATTGCACTGAAATGAATTCAAATATAAAGCACTCTGTCTTGCGGTAAAATGTTAATTCAGTTCTTGGGATAGCTCCCAAGCTGTTGACATTAAGGAAGCTACTGAAGACTTGGCTGTATCTCTGAGACTTTGGATAGGTTGGTGGTGCAACTCGTTATATGGGTTCTTTGTTCATGTCCATCTTCATGGTGTTTATGATTATTTTTGTATTGTTCTCACTTTTTAATTGTAAGCTCTCCAAAGAGTCAGGCAGCCTTCAAACTGCTAAATGACTGAATGAATAAAGTCACTTTAGATTGATAATAAATCGTAAAGAGAGTAGAATCATGGCTCCTTACAGGAATAAGTTGCAAAGAGTGCAGTAAAGAACAGGATCCAACCTAACTTACTCTCATAAAAGAGGTTTGTAGCTCATGTCGTTTCTGGCTTCTCCGTTAGTCTTGGCTCAACTCTGCTAGAATCAGATTTTAAAGCCAAAATAAAATACTGCTCCTTTTTTTATTGCTTTTATTGTTTTATGAGCTGTCCAGAAATGTGGTTCTTAATGTGAGGGGAGATGTATGTATGTATGTATGCAGAATAGAATTTATTGGCCAAGTGTGATTGGACACACAAGGAATTTGTCTTGGTGCATATGCTCTCAGTGTATATAAAAGAAAAGATACGTTCATCAAGCATCATAAGGTACAATACTTAATGATAGTCATGGGGTACAAATAAGCAATCAGGAAACAATATCAATATAAATCGTAAGGATACATGTCGAGCCCAGCCATGGCTTGACACATGATCCTTGAGGGTAATGAAACGTAAGCACAGCCCTCAAGCCAATACTTCCAGGGAGGGCTAGGCACTGAGTGGTTAGACTTCGCTTCACGGTGATGGCGTTTCACCGGGTGGTGATGGTGATGGTGCTACTTATGAGAAGCAACTAGGGAATAGGACGAGATGGTGAATTGGGGTCATCATGGCTACGATTCCTGGCTTTGAAGGACACTGGAGCAGAGGAACACAGAAAGTTGCTGGAAGCCGCCAAAACTCAAGACAGGTGCGACACGCTGCCGAGGGTGGGGTACGGGGCGGGGCAGCATATTTAAAAGCCGCTGAGAGGCGATAGCCGACTTTGAACAGCTCGTACTCGTCTTTAAGTGATACCAGTTTGTAGTGGATTAAACGTGCCCCTCCTGGTTAGTGCTGGCTTCCCGGGAGGTGACGCGAGGCTGGCTCCAGGGGATTATAAATGCTTCATTGGGCGAGGGTGTCTTTCCCGCTGTCTTGAAAGAGGCGGTGGTGAGACCTCTCCTCAAGAAGCCTTCCCTGGACCCGGCAGTATTGGCTAACTATTGTCCAGTTTCCAACCTTCGCTTTGTGGCGAAGGTTGTTGAGAGTGTGGTTGCGGGACAGCTCCCCCAGTACCTGGATGAAACGACGTATCTAGATCCGTTCCAGTCGGGCTTCAGGCCTGGGTACAGCACGGAAACGGCATTGTTGGTGGATGATCTCTGGAGGGCTCGGGACAGGGGGTGCTCCTCTGTCCTGGTCCTGTTAGATCTCTCAGAGGCTTTTGATACCATCGACCATGGTATCATGCTGCACCGGTTGGAAGAGTTGGGGGTGGGAGGCACCGTACTACGGTGGTTCTCCTCCTTTCTCTCCGACCGGTCACAGTCTGTGTTGATAGGGGGGCAGAGGTCGACCCCGAGACCCCTTATATGTGGGGTGCCACAAGGATCAGTCCTCTCGCCCCTTTTGTTCAACATTTATGTAAAGCCGCTGGGCGAGATCATCCGTGGTTTTGGGGTGGAGTACCATCAGTACGCTGATGACACCCAGCTGTACATCCCCATCCCAGACCACCCCAACGATGTCCTTGAAGTGATGTCCCGGTGCCTGGAGGCCGTACGGATCTGGATGGGGAGAAACAGGCTCAGGCTCAACCCATCCAAGACCGAGTGGCTGTGGTTTCCGACATCCAGATATAGTCAGCTGGTGCCATCGCTGACTATTGGGGGCGAATCATTGGCCCTCACGGAAAGGGCTCGCAACTTGGGTATCCTCCTGGATTCACGGCTGTCTTTAGAAGAGCACTTGATGGCCGTGGCCGGGAGTATTTTTCATCAGGTTCGCCTGATCTGCCAGTTGCGTCCTTTCTAGATTGGGACTCCTTACACACGGTCACTCATGCCCTCGTCACCTCTCGTCTGGACTATTGTAACGCTCTCTACATGGGGCTCCCCTTGAGGAGCACTCGGAGGCTCCAACTGGCACAGAGTGCGGCCGCGCGGGTGGTGATGGGAGCGACGTGGCGCTCCCATGTAACACCTCTCCTGCGCGAGCTGCACTGGCTCCCGGTGGTCTTCCGAGTGCGCTTCAAGGTTTTGCTTATCACCTTTAGAGCGCTCCATGGCTTAGGACCTGGTTATTTACGGGACCGCCTGCTACCACCAATAGACTCCCACCGACCAGTATGCTCCCATAGAGAGGGGCTCCTCCAGGTGCCATCGGCTAAACAATGTCGACTGGCAGCCCCCAGGGGGAGAGCCTTCTCTGTGGGGGCACCTACTATCTGGAACGAGCTCCCCCCAGAGATACAGAGGATCCCGGATCTGCGTACCTTCCGTCGCGCGCTCAAGACTTTCTTGTTTCATCAGGCTGGCCTTTCCCCCTTTTAAATGGAAATTTTAAATTTGGTTTTAAAGTATTGGGGTTTTAAATTTGTTCAGCCAAATTATTTAATTCGTTTTATTCTATTTTAAATTTTGTATTTATATTGTTTTATTCTATGGCTGTTCACCGCCCTGAGTCCTTCGGGAGTAGGGTGGTATACAAATTCAATAAAACTAAAACTAAACTAAAACTAAACGAACACTGGTGAAACAAATAAGACTGACTTTGATTGATTCAGCGTTTGTTCGCAGAGACGTGGATTAGAAAACCGAGAGCAAGTCAGCGCTCCCGTTAATACTCAACCTGCCTGTTTGTAGTCGTGAGTAAGGCCATGGCTGAGGGAACTTCTACAACTGTACCTGAGGCTGTGGTGGCTGAAGGGGAAGAGGAGGTGGTGGAGGCAGTGACACCTGAGGAAAGTGAAGCCAGGGTTGTGCAGCCAAAGGAGAGGAAAGCTTGGAGCGAAGACCGTCCGGTGGAGAGCCAGGAGAAGGATAAGGGGACAATGCAGTTTGCCACAGGCCATTGGTGGCATAGCTCTGTATTAACGGGTCCTGGGGAGCCTCAGGACAGAACCCCACCACCCTTTGGGGGCGCACCATTCCAGGGCTGGAAGGGGAGACAGTGGATGAAAGAAGACGAACAGGACTGGAGTTATTCCACAAGTCCTGGGCCTACCACCATGGAAGTGCTGAGAGAAAAATTTGGGGAAGCCAGCTTCATGGACGCGCCTTCATGGCAACCCTGGACAATGGGACTGGACCCCTCAACCACCTGGTGAGGGGGTGGAGGGTCCAGTTCTGAGTCACGCTTCCGCCTTACCAGCCCCAAACTTCGGAGGAGCAAGATCTCAGACAGTTTAGGGGTGCAGAGCAACATACTGTTGGGGCCCCGGTACCATCCACTGAGGAGGCAGGGCATGGGCCTGGTTAGGGCCCAAGCGTAGGATATGAGATGCTTGCCACCAGACCTCCGCCTGTGTGGAAGCATTCGGAACCTCCCCGGGTAGCTGGTAGTAGCACAGACAATGCAAGGGGGCATGAGCAGGTGCCATTATGGCCTGC